TGTTATGGGTAACCGGACATTTAACTGTTTGAAAATGACCTTGACTTGACGTTCAACTTTTTACACTTGCTTTAATATAGATCCACTTTTGAAAGCTGGGTCAGAAGTGCACCTAGGGGGGTAAATTTGGGGATAAACTCCCCTCTCGCTCTTCAAAACAGGTTATACAGCTACTCGTTATTAAAAGAAAAGAAAAAAAAAAAAAAAAAAAGGTGCAAGCAGTTTCCACGAAAAGACAGTCAATAATCTCTTGAAATTATCTTCCGGCTTCTTATAGTGAACTTTCATTAACTCTGATATAGATGTTGTATTTGCTGTTATGTTATAACTTTTATTAACGTAATCTATACACAAAGTGAAATCCGCATAATATCAGCTTTTATAATAATTTTATTATAAAAGATAATAAAAATTTTGAATTATACCACGCTTTCACCTAAATTCTTTATTTGATAATTATTTAATTAAATTTTATAAAAAACAGATCTAATGTCTAGAGACTGACAGTCGATCAATCGATAACTACGTAAGACGCATTTCAGATGGAATTCAAAGAAACGGTTTTAGTTTCGAAGAACTCGGCGCGGGGGGGGGAGGATAACTTTGTAGAGACATTATAGAATTTTTCGAAACAAGGAAATCAAATCGAAGAAATGAGAAATGCCCTCGCCGGGACTCGAACTACGGACCTCTCGAATACGCGCCGAGTGTGCTGACCACTACACCACGAAAGCATGCTAAGAAGGCGAGAGAAATACCTTATATACTCCCCTTTTAAAGGGCGACTGGAGATTAGAGGACCCAATCGCCAAATCGAGAATCATCATCCACCACCCTTTTTAGTTCGGGCGCCACTGTAGAGACATTATAAATTTTTTCGAAACAAGGAAATCGAAGAAATGAGCAATGCTCTCGCCAGGACTCGAACCGCGGACCTCTCGAATACGCGCTTAGTATGCTGACCACTACACTGCGAAGGCATGCTAAGAAGGCAGGAGAAATACCTCATAACTTAAAAATATACGGTAGGTTTCGTAATAATAATGCTTATTTATGTACGCTAACAACTCTCAGATATATATGGTGGTAATTAAAGATAGGTTAAATAACGAATAAATAAAGCATTAAAAAAGAGAAACTTATAATCTAAATTTTCAAAGTTCACTCTAACAAATCTAGTTAGATGGTTTTGTCCCAAAAGAGCCTGGAGGATTTTATTTCCGATTTCGCCCGAAACTGAAATAGCTTTTGACCATCATTCTTATATTAGCCTTCGTTTCCTATTCACTCGTATAAACGTAAAAGAGGGTGTGCTTATGACACTGTACTTTCCGTTCGTTATACTAAAACAATGACCTGATTCGTGTTAGCTTATTTTCACCATTGACCTTTCTTAGAAACCAATTTATAAATTTCTAGTAGCAGCTTTAATCCTCCAACCTCACTTTTTTTTTTTTTTTTTTTTTTTTTGGCTTGTCGCACGGCACCAGTAAGCCTAAGGAGTTCTTTAAACAAGATTTTAGAAAGAATGGAATATACTGCAACTCAAGCCCTAGTTTATGGTGGCATGTCATTTAGCTTGAAACATATATACAAAAGTGAAAAGAGGCATTAGATTTGAAGATTTAACATTGCAATGAAATTTTTCTCATAAGTACGGACAATAAAGCTATTGATTAGAAAAGTCACGTACTCCCAAAAGATGAAGAAAAACTAAGTATAAAAACATAAAATAATTCGTTTTAGAAGATTGTAAGGAATTTTATGGTAATTAATTAGTTATTTCGATTTCAGCCTTTACTATAACTTCTCCTTTAAGCATTTTCCTCCCCCAAATGCAAATTATCGAGTATTTAAATTGAGATTGTTGGATCTGAGAGAGTTTCTGGCATCGCGTGGGCACTAGGTGTTTAGATCAGCTCTAATAGTTGTAATTATTCGGCTTAGTGTTCTCTCGCTGCCGATACCTTAATTCTGACGCTCCGGTAGAGTTAGACAGACTGCTTCTAGTATACTATTTAATTGTGTAATCTTTGATTACACTTCAAAGTTTAAGTTAAAATGGACTGTTCTACTTATTTTGCATCACCACGAGTTGTGGTCATTGTAGCACAAGATCGTACACTTATGTTCTAATTTCTGATTAAATAAAAAGGTTATTTTAAGCTTCTCAATACATTGTCAAGGCTCTCACACACAGAGATAATTCGTTTCACGTTTTTTAGGGCTATAGAACTAAAATAATATCAAGTGTAACCCTATAAGATCGTGCACTTATGTTCTAAATTCTGATTAAATAAAAAGGTTATTTTAACCTTCTCAATACTTTGTCAATGCTCACACACACAGAGATAATTCGTTTCACGTCTGTTAGGGCTATAGGACTAAAATAGCATTACCGGATCAAGTGTAACCCTATAAGATGTCCGGAAGAATTAAGAGCCATTCCGAAAATACACGTAATAAAAATGCAAATGATGAAAATGTATAAAATAATGTTAAAAGCTTCCAATAAAACAATACAAAATAAAACGAAAACCAAAATAGTTATGCAGTATTGTTTCCAGATTAAATCAAATCCCAACAAGATAAATAAATCACAAAAAAAGTGTTATGCCGTTGAAAGCAGTGACTTGACGTTCTCTTGTTTATAGAAGGGGAAGGGGCGAAAACACGTAGGACTGAGTTCTAAAAAAAATTTTTTTTTTTTTTTTTTTTTTTTTTTTTTCTTTATAATAGTGAAAAATATTTACTCGAAACTGGGGGGGGGGGGAGGAATTACATATATGTAGGTTGAAAACTGTTATATGCTGAAATAATTGGATCAACTAAAAGCTCTCACCTATTTTATGGCGTGAGCTGGCACCAACTCCGGCTTAGATTAAATGTAATTTTCTTCGCATAGTGAAAACAATTGCAACTCATTCCCGACGTTAAAATGAAATTCTTATCAGTACACACTTTTTTTTTTTTTTTTTTTTTTTTTTGAAGGGGGATAGGTATCGGAACAGAATAACCGGTGTGAAACATTGTATGTAAGAAATATTACTTAGGATGGTGTAAAATACTACACGTATGCTATTGTGAAAATAATTGCACAAAATAGTTATAAAGGAGTACCTGAACATCAAATAATTTAATAATTATTGGAAAATAATTTGGCAATAATTTTGGTTCTTAAAATAGTATTACGCATATTTTAACAAAATTCTTTATACGACTTAGTCGCTGTTAACAAATTTTTCTTTGTACTGTAACTTAAAAATTTAAGCCGTTAAGAAAGAAATTAAATTTCAGTTGTGTTAATAATATATTAAAATATAATTCACAATTAAATATTTAAAAATTTAGCATTCATTTATTAACATTTGTTAACATATGTCTGAGAGTTCAATATGGATAGCATCTTAAAGAATTCTGACATGTGATAATTAGACAATTTTTATAACAAATTAAACAATACTTTTATGTCTTGTACACACAGTGGCTCCAAAATCATGAATTTTGTTTCCTTCTGTATAATATTGTGATTTTTCAACAAATGCTCAAACTACCTAATTGTATCTAATTCACTGCACTGAAATAGTCATAAGTTAATTAAAACAGATAAAAGTTAAATTATTGAGTGGTTAAATTATTAAAACGATTTGATATTATATAGGAATGTAAAATAAACTACTCCTAAAATCTAATTTTATGAGATTAATAATGAACATTCTATTAATTTTTGCAGGTACGTACTGCATTGTAAGTTATTACAATATGATTATTTTAAAACTGCAGTTCAGAATGTAACTTTATATAATAATACTGCTTCTAAAGAATAAAGTAAAGTTAAATTTAATTTTAAATAATTCTCTTGCGCCATTGCTTCAAGGAATGAAATTTGAATTTAACAAACATTCTCTATTCGTAAAAAGCAAATTTAAAGTTAATAAATTTAAATAACATTTAATGCAAGCAAATAAATGATTAATTATTGTTTCGAACTAATCTACAATATCATTTAAATTCTGACAGCATATGTAAATCAAGTGCAAGTATCAAAATCCATGAATAAATATAAATATAAAATTAAAATTCCAAAGATTATTTAATCCTAAAAAATTTTATTTATAAAAATGCATAAGTGAATGATTGTTGAGCAGGCAGGAAACAGACTTATCAAGGGGAAGTTGCCTCCAAACCTAATACATATGTTCTCGACCCCTTTACATATGCTCTCAGAATTTAAATGATATTGTAGATTAGTTCGCAACAATAATTAATCATTTATTTGTTTGCATTAAATTTCATTTAAATTTATTAACTTTAAATTTGCTTTTTACGAATAGAGAATGTTTGTTAAATTTATATAATAATATGTTGTTTCAGCCAATGCACTTTTGAAATGCATTTTAGGAGGATATCTATAAAGCAAATAATTTATTTCCTCAAAACAATATTAATTATTTGCAAATAATGTATTTAATTACTTATTTTCTAGGAAGATGCTTATTACAGGATGCTATTTCTTTGGGATGCTTAAAAATGTTTTTCGGTCATGCTAATTACGCAGAAAAATATTCAGCACATCCCTCTATTGAAATGATGATATATTATCTTAAAAAAAAAAAAAAAAAAAAAAAAAAAAAAAATCTGGGAAGATGTTGATTACAAGGTACCATTTGTATAATACACCATAAAATGCCGTATACTTGCGGTGGTTCTACAAACACCATTTAGCGCACCCTCTATTGTATTACGCATGATGCGCTAAATATAAACTATGGGCCGGAACTCAATTTACATTTGTCCATATTATGCAGGATTTTCAAAGGAACTTAACGAAGATTACTATTGCGTCATGAAACAAAATCGCATATGTTTATCCCTTTAACATACATTGCCGGAGTCAGTTTAGCTTCCGTTCATGTAACCTCAATTGGCAATGACGTCATAAGGCGGGGAATAGGAAACTAAAGAAAAAAAAAAAAAAAAAAAGTGCAATTGCAACTCACCACAGAAAGGAATGCCTAGCGGTATCCAAGTGCCGTTGGCGGCACACACTCGACGAGCAGGTCCTAATAGTTCAAATCCACTATCGCAGGTATATGTTGCCACTGTACCAGGGCCGATGACCTCGGAGGAGAATGCAATGCTGGCATGAGCCGGAGATCCAGGATAGCCGCAGGCACGCACTAGGTCAGGAATGAAGGAAGACGATGAAGGCGGGAAAGAAAAAAAAAAAAAAAAGCGTTTGTTAGAGACATACTTATTGAATTTGATGTTCAATATAAAGAAAAATTATTTGTCTGATAAATATATACTAATAGCGCTTACCTAATTTATACATAAAATTTTGAAGGCATAAAAATATTCCAGAAACTTTCACATTCACCGTACGTAATTGTCCGATAAATTGTCCAGATTTTTTAATTAAATCTCTCGTATTTATTACACTCTGTTTTATCAATAATGTTATTACGTTTAATAACTTGAGATTTCCCCTGCTTTTTGAAAATGTGCTTAAAAATGTTCAATAGGGATTGAAAAAAAAAAAATTAAGGACGTAGGAATATTATTAGCACACTTGTGCTATCAAATTAAAAAGTCATAAAGCGAAATCTTACATCCTTTGGCATTAACACAATTTTAATTTTTCGAAAACATTAACAGAAAATAAATAACTTTATTATCTAATTTATTTACATGAAATCACGCTACTCAGTTTTCGTTCTGTCTGGCTACTTTTGATAACCCTTATGCAAAAATGGGATGTATATCTGTTTTGGAGCAGTCTCACTCAGACAGGCATTTCGCCTTCCGTGTTTAAACGCAAGATATTTCTTGTCTGTAAAAGAGAATGCCTAACTGTTAATAACAATAATACTATACGAGAAAATAAAAAGTAGAAATAGACGGAAGCTGCTTGAGTTGTTATTTACACATTTTTTAAACGCTAAAACTTGAATCGTGTTTACAAACATTATTTTGTATAGTGAAATTCTGAAGAACTTTTATATTAATTTTTAAATAACAATTTCAATGATTTAACTCGAAAAAGTTATTTTTATGCTTACTTATTAAAGCTTGGAGAACAGTCTGCCACGAAAAGAGACACTTTTATGGAGTACTTCACAATGGAAACTATTTTACATTAACTTTTGCGTGGGTAAGGGAAGAATAGTTCATCGAAATCCTTTATGCTCCCGTATACTCTAGCTTTTGAATTGAATTTACGGTATGTATACGTCACGAGTTGCTTAATTTTAATTTTTATCGTTACTTATTTCAGACGTGCAGAGGTAATCTTTTCATTGAATTTTCATGTTTGAAGATAATTAATTAAAGCCTGGAGTAATATCAATTTCAATAACTATCTTCAGAAACATTATTTAAATAAATTATGTACTTTAATAATTCACTGACACTAGCGTATGATTTCGAAAATTTAAGTTATGCTATAAGTTTTATACTGCACGTTTTTTAGAACTTGTTCTGCTCTACTTTTCTTCTAATAAAGGCTTTACTCGTATTTAAAATTTTTATGTTTACTGATTTCTTTTAAACAATAATCTAATGTAACAATTAAATGAAGCTAAATTAAAGCACTTTAGCTCAAAGACGACTGAAAATAATAGCAATTAGAGTTAAATTCAAGAAATTAATGTTGAGATACGTTAAATCAAAGCTTTCAATTGCGTGTCTACCGTAAGTTTTTTTTTTACTTCTAGTGGAATTACCTACTTTTGAAGAGAAGACATCGATCTTCTATTTCTCGAAATACGTTGAGCTTTTAATTAGTACATACTCGAAACAAAGGTACATTTTTGCCAATTAATAATTTTCAAACTGATACGATACTCCTGCAGCTATTATTAACATTAAAACTTTACGTATAATCGTTTACATACAGCGATCGTTAGAATTATCACAACGTATTAAGTAACACATACAACTGATTTCCAATGGGCATCTATTTATTTTTTTAATTAATTAGAGTCAAAAATCACTGGGAATTCACTGGGGCAAAATATTTTTAATTAATAATTAATAATTACATTTCATTAAAAAATAAAATAAGTTTTTTCTACCTTCCCCAACCTTTTCGTTATTTTTAACAACCTACACAAATAAATTTTCATGATAATTTTTTTATCCGCCGACCATTGACAAATGTATTTCAGAAACAACAGTCGACATTTTCAGAAAATTAAAATTGTTTTAAACAAATGCTGATACCTATATCATCGCTAAACATTTCGTTCGTACTGTCATAAATATTTGTTATAATAATACAATATAGAACGAAATATTTATTTTCATAACTTTTATAATGAGAATCCATCTCCTTGGGCTTCCAGCATTTACTCCGACCTTACTCAGAAAATCAGCAGGCAATTATTTACAAACAACTTGTTTTGCCTCAAGGCTCTCGCAAATATTTTAGTAGCACCTTCAGGCAATACGTTGAACTCTTCCACTAGACTGTATTATTTATTTTACGAAGCTGTTTTATCGAGTAAAGCATGATGTGAGAAAAGATGGCTTGAGTCAGATATTCCACGACTTTTCTTACTTAATGGAGCTTGGTATGAGATAAGGGTGATGAGGGTATTTATTTCACGTTTCAGCTCACCTACTGCGCGGTAACAGGGACAAGTCTCTGAAGTGTGATAAATTTCAAAATTAATAAGACCAAAAAGAAAGCTAAGACTATTGAAGAAAGGTAGTCTATATGTTATTTTTCAGTACTAAAGTACCAAAAATTTTACGGCAATTTTATTTATTTATTTGCTTCCTCTGATTTTACGGGCAACAGTAAACATAATTTTGTAGAGCCATTGGGTATTTTGGAAGTAGGAAAGATGAGCAACACCTTCGCCTGGAATCGAACCACGGACCTCTGGAACACGCGCCCAGTGTGCAGACCACCACACTACCAAGGCATGCCAAGAAGGCAGGAGAAACACTTCATATACTCCCCCTTTTAAAGGGTGACTGCAGTTTTAGGGACTAAATCGCCAAATCTTGGGTGTGGAGAATCATCATCCACCACCCTTTTAGTTCGGGTGTCACTATAGAGACATTAGGTATTTTAGAAGCAGGAAAGATGAGCAAAACCTTCGCCGGGAATCGAACCACGGACCTCTGGAACACGCGCCCAGTGTGCAGACCACCACACCACCAAGGCATGCCAAGAAGGCGGGAAAACACTTTATAATTTTATGTATCGAACATGTGCAGCATTTACTATCTCTCAAAATATAGGAAAATATTTAAAACCGTTAAATTACGAATATATATGACAAGTTTCAAAATTTATAACTGACAAAAACCGACAGGTTTTCTTTAAGGCAACATGGCTCAAAGATAACCTTATGCCATAACCTAATACTATCATCAAGTTTATCTTGTCCCATGCTTTAGATTGTGACTATAGCGTTGTGTATACACTATTGTCAAAGTTATGGTCATCACTTAATAGCGGACTTTAAACAAATTTGCAGTGTATTGAAGATAAACTTATTTTGCTGAGCTTAGAATACTACGCACTTTATACATGAAAAAAATATTAAGCTATTAGCATCGAATGACCGTGATTTAAAAATTGAAAATATATTTATAAATTTTAAAAGGGCAATTTTGCACTTACATAATAATAAAATATAAATTCTATTACTTGATTTACGTTTCGTACCATCATTTACCTTGATAAAGGAATATAACCAGTATGACTACCGTTAAATGATTCTGCTCGAGTTATGTTATGCATAGGATTTCTCTTGCAACATTTTTGTTTTAACCTGATATTTAATATGTTTTCACCTGATATTTTAACTGTTTGATATTTAATGGCAATTTATTTGTTACAGTACGACTACCGAAAGACCGGTTACAGGAAGTTCAATTTGCTGAAAATATTACTTACGCAGCTATATTACTATACTCCCTATTATCTAATGCATGCATTTACATTACTTCTCAAAACAGTCTTTCAATAAGAAGCGTGAGTACTTACAGTTGTAACATAAATTGGTTAACATTTTTATTATTTTTGCTACAATTAATTTAAGTTGCTAGAAAAATTTGGGTACCCTGCTTCGGGAAGGCATCAGTAAGCAAGACGCATAGTATTTCTTATTAAAACAGGAAAGTCATGTAGGTGTTTCTTATGAGTTAATGCGGCGGTTCTCAACCTTTTGACTAACGCGTACCATCTAAATAAAAATTGGAAACCTTTAGTACCACAACTACAAAGTACTACTACCACCACCACTCTTGAACAAAGCTCAGATCGCATAAATTTACGAGTGTTAGAGAAAAACTCAAAATCAGTAGAGGTTTTAATTTTTGAATTTAATAGTTAAAAACACTTTGCTTCTTTGCGTACCACCTATTTTTCTCTTGCGTGCACCACCAGCGGTACGCGTACCACCGGTTGAGAACCTCTGAGTTAATGTATTTATCAAATAAATTACAAGAAGTTTGCAATAGGAGATTCGACATGGAAAATTATGTAAACGTTAATTAATCGACGATGTTTTAATTTTAAATGCAACTAACAATGATCTCAATCATATGGTTTGAAGGAATTATCGCATTCTCCCGTTCTCGCTTTTCTGGTGTAAATGGGTTATACATCCAGGCAACCAACAGAAGGTCTATGGGGTCTATGGTAAGTAAGTCATGGTAAAATGCAAATTGATTTTTCAAAAGTTTCGCTACGAAAAGCCTAATAAACTCTATACGGTTACATGAAATAAAAGAAGTAAACTGAAGTAAGTTTGCGCTATATTTTAAGTTAATGATTTCGATTTTTTTATTTTATGAAGAACAATTTTTATAGTAAAAATAATAAAGGGCAAAGTTTTAACGTCAGATATTTTCCCCACGTGAACTCTTGTGGTGCAATATAGGAAATCGAAATGACGTCTTAGTTAAAACGCTTTAAATCCTCGTTTTTAACTCTTTGCTTTTTAATACTATCCTGTAACAATAGGATTATAAATAATACTTATTTCAATCCCCATTAATGTTATATATTAAAACTCCATACCTTAGTATTAATTCTATAATTTATTGAAATATGTTCCTAGTCATGCTAGTTATCAAATTACGCTTTTTGTATGATTCAGGCAAATTTGTTTGCAAAAAACGTATCACTTAAGATCATTACTTATATGCATTTCACTTC